CTACAAGGGTATTTGCTGGAGCATTGCTTATAAAGGTGAAAATTGGAATTCAAGTGGTGAATTATTATCATGGGCTCCTCCCAGTGGTGTTTCCTGGGCTGGGTGAGCCAGTTCTTGGGATGCCAGTCCCACCACTTCTTTGTGTAATGGTTCTCCAGACTGAATGAGCTGCACTGGACCTTCTTTTTGTGGTACAACATAGAGCTTCTCACCCACCTGATCACTGCAGTTAATTAGTTTTTCAACTGAATAAATAACATCTTAAAAAGGATGATGTGGACACATCAAAACTTGTATTTATATGCTATAAACAGGTAGAAGGACCCCAGGTAACCCAAGGCCAACCAGGGCTGAGTAATTTTTCTCCCTCTAGTCCCTTGTTTCTCCCTTTCCCTCATCTTTTTTCTGAGTCTGGCACCACCCACTTGACTACCAAGGGCAGACAAAACCTGTAAACACCTCAAGTTGAGGAAATGCAAGAAAGGAAAGACAGTGGTCTAAAATTAAGGTGCAAACCAGCCTCCAGCTCAGTCTCTCCCAAAGCTCACTGTTGCTTCTGTATATTTTCCCTATCTCATATCTAAGCTAATACTTTGGCAGAAAGCATGGACCCATTTAGGAAAACAAACAAACAAATTAACGAAAACAACTGGCTATTTTGCTCTGGAGTTTAATGACATAATAATAATAATAAAATACATTTAAATGATTTGCTACTGATGTGCTATTCAATTCAACAAATATTTGTGTGTATCAGGGGCCATGGGAGGCTTGGTAGCCCAGAGGGGATAAAGACATTCACTGTCCCAACTGGTTTGGAGCTATTCAGGGAGCTGGAAGGTTACTCAACTAAATTGTGCGATAATCAACTAAAGCTCTAGTGTTTTGAGAATGCAGAGAAAGGAGAGCTTAGTTGTAACAAAGATCAACAAAGACCTATGACAGGAAGTGAATACCTACACACATCTGCACATAAATAATCCCCCTTCTGTTGAACCGCTGTTGAAGGACAGACTGATAAAGACATTAAATTAGGAGCTGTTGTTAAAGTCTCTGGATCTAGGATTCAGACAGATCAGAGTTTTAATTCCATCTTCAACACTTACCAGTCATGTGACTTTGGGCAATAGTTATTTAACTAGTTTTTTAAAATAATAATAGCTCTCCAGTCCCTAAGTGAAACAAATCCGTCCTGGAAGAAGTGCAGCCGGGATGCTCCTTGGAAGCGAGAATGGCCAGCCTTCGTCTCATCTACTTTGGTCATGTTGTCAGAAGGGGTCATTCCCTGGAGGAGGATGTCATGCTTGGTAAAGTGGAGGGTCAATGAAGAAGGGGAAGACCCTCAACAATTGACACAGTGGCTACAACGATGGGCTCAAGTATAGCAAGGATTGTGAGGCTGGCCCAGGACCGGGCAGTGTTTCGTTCTGCTGTACATGGGGTCACTGTGAGTCAGAGATGACTTGACGGCACCTAAAAACAACAAGTCTCTAAGTAAACTCTAAAACCAAACCCACTGTCATTGAGTCAATTCTGGCTCCTAGTGACCCCCTTTGGGTTTTCGAGGTGGTAAATCTCTACGGTAGTAGATTGCCCAGTCTTCCTTCCCTGGAGTGGTTGGTGGGTTTGAACCACTAACCTTCTGGTTAGCAGTCAAATGCCTTAGGCATTATGCCACAAGAGTAGTAACTATAAAATTTTAGGAGCAGATAGGCCATGAAAAGGAGCCCTGATATAAAAGTCACTGGAAATAACCTCATTTAAAACACTCTATTTATATGTTTTAAATAATGAGACATTGTTTATAAGAGTGAAAAATTGAAAATGAAATAGAGTATTATTATCATATACGCAGTTTCTCCTTGTGTGAAATGAGGAAAACAGTCAGAGAGTTGGTAAGAGGATTAAATGAGTTAATATGAATAAAGCCCTTGGAAGGCTTTCCTTAAATATCTGGTGTATGTTGTTGTTGTTAGGTCCCCTCGAGTAGCTTCTAACTCAGAGTGACCCTATGTAGAACAGAATGAAACAGTGCTCATTCCTGCACCACCCTCACAATTGTTGCTGTGTTTGAGCCCATTGGTGCAGCCACAATGCATCAAGCCAATCCATCTCTTTGAAGGTCTTCCTTTTTCAAGCATGATGTCCTTCCCCAGGGACTGGATCTTCTGGTAGCATGTCCAAAGTACATGAGACAAAGTCTCACTGTTCTTGCTTCTAAGGTGCATTCTGGCTGTACTTCTTCCACGGCACATTTATTCATTCTTCTGGCAGTCCATGGTATATTAAGCATTCTTGGCAACATCATAATTTAAATGCATCAATTCTTTGGTCTTCCTAATTCATTGTCCAGCTTTTGAATTCATATGAGGTGATTGAAAATATCATGGTTTGGGTTAGGCACATCTTAGTCCTCTAAGTGACATCTTTGCTTTTTAACATTCTTAAGAGGTCTTTCTTTTGCAGCATATTTGCCCAGTGCAGTAAGTCAATTTCTTCATGACTGCTTCCATGACCATTGATTGTGGATCCAAGTAAAACAAAATCCTTGACAACAGCAGTATTGACATATAGTATATAAAGCCAAACCCACTACCATTGAGTCTATTGTGATTCATAGAAATGCTATAGGACAGAGCAGAACTGCCTCATAGGGTTTTCAAGGCTGCACATTTTTATGGAAGTGGACTGCCTCATTTCACTCTCAGAGTAGCTGGTGGGTTCAAACTGCCAACATTTTGGTTAACAGCAGAATGCTTTAACCACTACACCGCCAGAGCTTCTTATTAGTATATAACCAAACCAAACTCACTGCTGTCAAGTTGATTTGACTCATAGTGACCCCTCCTTGGGTTTCCAAGGCTGTATCTCCATGGAAGCAGATTGCCCAATCTTCCTTCCGAGGAGCGGCTGGTGGGTTTGAACTGCCAGCCTTCTGGCATGGTAAGCTATTATTATGATTTCTAGAATTAATACCATTTAATTGTATGTGCATAGAGTATGTCAGGAATTCTTTATAATGGCTGTATTCTTGAGAGGGAAATGGGGAAGAGATGGAATGAGAGCTATGAGTCGATCTTTGAACAACATGTGGGTTAGGTGCACTGCCCTTCACATAATCAAAAACCTGCATGTATCTTTTGAATTCCCCCAAGCTTAACTACTAACAGCCTACTGTTGACCAGAGCCTTACTGATAATAAACAGTCCTGATTATAAACTTGACTGCATTTGTACAAAAGAATAGAGTTAGCTTATCCCCTTCTGCCTTAAATCCTGGCACTCACTTCTCTTCCTTACTGATAAATGTTCTTTGTGGTGTCTGCCCCCCACCCCCCAATAGGGCACTTTTGATTTTCTTAATAGTGTCTAGGCACTCATCTGCTGCCTCTTAGTCAACAGAAGGTGCTTTTCTGGTTATCTTAACATTTTTAAAGCTAACACTCTTTCTAAAATTGTCAAACTATCCTTTACTAGCATTAAATTCTCCAGCTGTGGAGGCTTCACCTTCCTTTTGCTTTAAGCTATCATAAAATGACTTTGTTTTTCTCAAATCATATTAGAGTGTATAGGTATGCCTTTCTTATAGCAATCCTGCACTCATATAAATGCTGCATTTTCAATATGAGATAAAAAGATATTTTGCAAAAAGTGCCAGGTTTTCATGTCTGCTGGTGCAGCTGCAGCAAAGGCTTCCAGAATTTCCTTTTCTTTTTTTCATAATAGTCCCTACATTGGATTCATTTATCTTGAAATGGTGGGCAACTGCGGCTGTAGACCTTAATCTATGGTACATACATACAAACAAACAAACACATACCAAGTAATTAAACTTTTTTTGCTATGTTGTGACTTTTTCTGCTTTTTGGGAACACTTACAGCATCATTAGTGACACTATTATGGGTCCCATGGTGTTTTCAAGGTTTATGGCATTGCACTAAATGTAATTTTTTTTTTTTTTAAGTGAAACCACAAGAGATCACTTTTTACTGCAATATGCAATTGGAGAGTTGAACTGCTCATGTGAAGATGGTTAGCATCATACAGTATTTTAAGTGAATATTCACAACACTGGAGCTTCCCTCAACAGCAACAGGAGGTGGCTAAGAAATTATTACAGAAGTACAGTAGGTACTACAGTTAATTTTATGAAATTATGATTTAGTACTGCATCTTTACATTTGTTTACATTTCTCTCAACTGTGAATGGTGCATGTATGGTCTATAAGTGTTTGTGTTAAGTTTTGATAATTTTTTAACTTTCTAAAATAGATTTATGTGTATTTCATGGTAGCAAATGATAAAATAGACTGGTATCTGCATGTATTTTATGCATTCATGACATACTTAACTTTTTCTTAATTTCTTTTCAATATTTCTAGGCTCTGTGGTTTGTCTAAGAGTTCTTTTCTTTTAATTGTCATAAATCTCCAAAAAATTTTCCAATCTATTCATTGAAAAAAATCTGCATTTAAGTTGACCCATACAGTTCAAACTCATATTGTTCAAGGGTGAACTGTATGTATACTCTTTACTTCATATTGTTCTCTTTGATTTTTAAAATTGAATAAACAATATTTTAGAAACTATTCTGAAGACACATCAAAATTTGTATTTATATGATACAAATAGGTAGAAGAATCCAAGTTCTGAGTCTATGGAATTTAGATTCAGAAATACAAGACCATGAATTTTGGTTCTGACCCCTAATAATTAGATTATCCTGGTCAATATTTACCTCCTTGAACCTTAAATTTTTCATCTATAAAACAAACATATTAACACCTACCTCATAGGATTAAATGCTATAATATAAGGAAGCATGTCCTTTACACACAGTATATTCACTACATATATTATTTTTATCTTTTTATTTAATTCCATAATTCCCTCTTACACTTTTTTTCTTTTTATGACCTAGGATCCCTTCTTATACTTTTATCTGCGTTTCATTTACTCCTCCTCTTGAGTCACTACAAGTTAAATTCAAGTTGACCTCAATGGAGAATAGCACAGAAGTAACAGAGTTCATCCTGTTGGGATTAACAGATGACCCCAATCTTCAGATTCCCCTCTTCCTGATATTTTTATTCATCTATTTCATCACTCTGGTTGGGAACGGAGGGATGATGTTGATCATCCTCTCTGACTCCCACCTCCACACTCCAATGTACTTCTTCCTCAGTAACCTCTCCTTTGTAGACTTGGGTTACTCATCAGCTGTAGCTCCCAAGATGGTGGCTGCATTGCAGTCAGGGAATAAAGTTATCTCTTACAATGGATGTGCTGCTCAGTTCTTCTTCTTTGCAGGTTTTGCCACCAATGAGTGCTACTTGCTTCCATGGCCTATGATCGCCATGCGGCAATCTGTAGGCCTCTTCATTACACCACCACCATGACAGCAGGTGTGTGTGCCCTCCTGACTATTGGCTCTTATATCTGTAGCTTCCTCAATGCCTCCATCCAGACAGCAGGTGCCTTCAGACTCTCCTTCTGTGGATCTAATGAGATACATCATTTTTTCTGTGACATGCCAGCACTACTGGTCCTCTCGTGCTCCGACACACACATCAGCAATTTGGTTATCTCCTTTGTGGTGGGCTTCAATGTGTTTTTCACGCTCCTGGTCATCCTCATCTCTTACCTCTTCATATACATTGCCATTCGAAGGATACGTTCAGCTGAAGGACGGAAGAAAGCCTTCTCCACCTGTGCTTCCCACTTCACTGCAGTCTCCATCTTCTATGGCTCAGTCATCTTCATGTACTTGCTGCCCAGCTCCAGTCAGTCCATGGATACAGACAAAATAGCATCTGTGTTTTACACTGTGGTGATTCCCATGCTGAACCCCTTGATCTACAGCCTTAGGAACAAAGAAGTGAAAAGTGCTGCCTGGAAAATACTCAACAAATTCTACCTCCAATCTTTGAGTAGGAAGTAGGCAGGTGACAAAGGGAAAACCCTTCTCTCAGACCTAAGTGCCATGATGATGGTTGACATTTGGCAAATTTCAGTTCTGTCTTCCCCAAGAATAGTGGTTACTTCTGCTAGAAGGAGAAGTCATAAAAAGCATCACTTTGAAATGCCTCACTCAGGAGGATGCTGTTATATTTAGTGAATAAGAATATGGAAAATTTAAACTCTGTTTGCGTTAGATTCATGATGCATTTTAGAGCAGAAGATGGAAACATATAAGTGAATGCAACAAGTTCCCACTCTCTCTAATTTTAAGAAATTTTATCTAATGATAAATTTGGTCTAAGGATCAGATCTACATCTGGAATGCATAGATATTATGTTTTTCATTGACTTGTTTCATGGGTTTGAAAGTTGAAGTTTCCATTGCTGACAAAGTAATTCTTATTATTTTTTAAAATGTCCCAGAAACTAGTACAATTTAAAGGTCAGAATGCTGGACCAGGAGTCAGGCGACCCAAGACTGAGTCTGCCAATCATCCCAGCCCTCCTTCCTTACCCTCACTGCACCTTCTCTCATTGGCCATGGACCTTTACACTCTAGACCGCCTTCTGCTGAAGTGATGGGACAATTTTTGTAGAAAATTATAACCTACACTTTATACAGAAGCCTGTAACAGTTTCAGTAGACGAATTGCTTAAACTTTAACCTGGATAAACATACCTTCCTTTAGAAGATATGCACTCTGTTCTCTACTTTTGGTCTTTGTCCAACATAATTACGAAACCTTGCAGAAGGTTTGAAGAAAACAACAGCATTTTTTTCAAGGGCTATGAAAGGTGATATTTGTCTTCTGTATTAAATGCTTGCATTTCTCATCACCCTTAAGTTTGGTGAATCTAGTAGGAATATATATAATAGATTTCTGTGCCCTCTTCGCTTTTATTTTTTCAATAATTCACTGCACCTCTGGGCGTTCTGATATCCTGTAATTAGATACTACAGGAATAAAAAAGCTTGCCTGGAAATTTACTTCTTAAGATAAGAATGGCATGATGACGCACAGCCAAGTCCACCTTCAAGTCTTATTTCATGTGCTAGATGGTGTTAGCAAATGTGTGTGTGTAGGAAGGAAGTGGTGATTAATTTTGCTTCTCACATATCAGCTGTTGAAGGTGTTTATAGCTAAAATTATTCTAAGTCACCAAATAGTTCATGATTTCAAGATCCGAAGGGGGGAAAAATCAATTTTTATTTTAAATGTGAAAACAGGAAATCTTAGTTGGCTAAATTAAGTGATTTAGAAGGTCAAATTTATTTTGAGATGATCACACTCCTTTATGCATAGGGCAGCCTCTCTGAGGAGAGTTCATCATGGCTCTGTGGAGAGAGGAACAAAGAGGGAGTTTCCAAACATAAGGCTCACCACTTAGAATAGTTTTTCTAGCACTATCATTGCCATAATCTACAGAGATGTGGAGCTTCTTCTGGATCCAAGCCTTGACACTTGGACTTGCCTCATCTATCCTCCTGCCTTACCCCTTCTTTCGTAACACAAGTAAAAGACCAACCTTTGAGGCCAGGATCCCACACACACAGGAGTCCCTCTCAGTGACTTACAGAAATTACAGAGCTCAAATGTACCCAGCTTTGGAGATGAGTCTGGGTAATTGCTATCAAAACACTTAGTCTATTCCTCAGGTTCTGTTTTTTTCTACTTGATATAATTAACTTTTCATTTGCCTCCTCTTCCCATTCCTTCTTATCTACTCCCAGTTTTCCCTTCTCTTCCTTTTGTTAATCATTTTTCTATCCTTAGCCCAAGCAAGAACTTTCCTCACCACTAAGCCATTAAACCACAAGCACCAATTGCCAACTCATAGCAAACCCCTTTTGTGTCAGAGTAGAATTGCTCCCTATACTTTTCAATGGCTGATTTTTGGGGTGTAGTTCACCAGGATTTCTTCCAAGCTACCTCTGAGAACTCTAACCTCCAACCTTTTGTTTAGCAGCCAAATGTGTTAACGGTTTGCACCACTCAGAGACTCCATTATGCCGTTAGAGACCTCTGAAAAATGAGTCTATAGTTTGTATATTTGTATATCATAACTCTGATAGTACCCAGCAAGGCATATTTCTGTGCATCTTTTTTTTTTTTTTTTTTTGCATCTACACCCCAGTTTAGGCAAAAATATGTAGGTCTGCTAAGTCAAAGTTCTAGTGCCTACATAATAATATTTTGTTTAAGTCACCTCAAATTTGTGCTTCATTTGATTTGGAAATGGGGTGGGGAGCACTAGCTCTCGAATCGTGAGCTGGATGTCCATCTACTTATCCATTATATGACCTCAGAGAAGTCATTTAATCTCTGAACCCAACCTACAGGATAAACTGTGAGGATAACATGGAATAAAGTATGTGAAAGTGCCTGTTGTAATCAGAAAACAAAAGTCAGTGCTGTTGAGTCCGTTCCGACTCATAGCAACCCCTCCTTGAGTTTCCCAGGTGGTATCTCTATGGAAGTAGATTGCCCAGTCTTCCTTCCAAGGAGTTTGAACTGCCAGCCTTCTGGTTAGCAGTGAAGTGCTTTAGGCACTACGCCACCAGAGCTCCTCCTGTCATAATAAGAAACTCCAAAAACCAAACTCACTGCCATAGAGTCGATTCTGACTCGCAGCAACCCCTACTAGGTTTTCAAGGCTGTAAATCTTTACGGAAGCAGACTTCCCCATCATTCTTCCATGGGTTGGCTGGTGGTTTCGAACTACCGACCTTTTGGTTAGCAGCCAAATGCCCCAATCGCTACACCACCAGAGCTCTTATCGTAATGAGAGTATGTGGAATACGGCTGGGGTCCTTGTACTGGGTTTTCACTGAGCTGTCTTTGTACTTCTCACTTCTGGTTCCTGAGCTCCTTCACTCTCTCCACTCATCTGAGTCCAAATCTATATTTTTTGTCCATGGTTTGGCCTCACGTTTTCCCAGCTCCTTGTTCCAGAGCAGACCCTTTTCAAGCCGACAGTACAAGAGTGTTTATTTACAGAAGCTACTCAGAAGGATACATCTTGTTGCCAGCAAGACATCAGTTTGCTGAGTACACATTACAGTGGGGAGCTTTTCACCTCCACATGAGAAATCTGTCAAATGGAGACCAAGTGTCCATTTGGTTATTAACAACAACCACCTTTTCCCTGCAGGAGTGCTCTGATGAATGAGAGGTGCTGTAAGGAAGGCCTGCAGCTCAGAGCAGTGTAATAAGGCCACAGGAAGACTTCTTACCTGAATGTGAAACCACATAAATCCGGACAGTTGTTCATATCAGGGTAGATTATTATAGGACAGAAAATTACGAAGGATTCAAGTTAGAATTGTGGGGTCTGAGAGATCTTTTAACCAGAAGCCTTTAGTATGGAGAGTAACACGTCCCATGCTGAGCCCTAATGCCTCCAGTATAGAGATTAACACGTCCCATGCCTCAGAGCCTTTATCAGAAATCTGCATGGCTCCAAAAAGCCTCTCGCCCACCTTTGAAGGCTCCAACAGCTCTTACCTCCTCGCACGGAGTTTGCACATATCAAAGAGATCTGCCGGCCCCGAAGAATCTCTCACTCACCTTTGAAACTGGGGGATTCCAACCCGCCCCCAACTTCCCAAACCCCTGTCCTAAAAAACCAATTATCTACTCCACCCTATATTCTTCTATAAATATGTAATAATGAAAGAGCACGGGGTCTTTTTGCTCAACCCGTTGTGTCGGTGAGAGCAGGGACCCTAGTTCTGAACTAGCTAATAAACTTTCCTTTCTGCACTTGCATTATCGCGTGTTGGCAAATTCCTCGCGCCGAACAACTCCTTCATAACCTGGGCACAACAGAATTATTCTAAATAGGTAGTCCCTTTGTACACTAGATTCTTTGTTTAACTTTTTATATAAGGAAAGGAAAATTAACATATTAGAAGTCCTTGAAAATTGAAGCTAGAATTATAAAGTCATGGAAACGTAACTTTTCAGAGAGAGCTTAAAAAGAATTGAAACCAACCCTGTAATTTTATAATGAAGAACTCAATTCCCAGAGTTTAACTTGCTTAAACTCACAGAGAACCAAATCTTGATTCTTATTATATTTCACATTCTATAAAGTTTTGATGTGTTAAAAGACATTTTTGTATTTTTCCCTTTATTTGTTCACTCTGAGAAAGGTTTTTGTGCTTTTTTTTGCAGGTGAGAAAATTAAGGCTTCAATGTTAACTCACCTGCTCATTATTAAAAAGAGGATCCAATTCTATTCATGGTTAGCAGGAGTGGGAGGAAGGGCAAAAGATGGAGTCATTGCCTAGGGGCCACTGAGCTTCTGTTAAGAGTGATGAAGTTTGGGGATGATGATGGTGATGGTTGCTCAACATGATGAATATAGTTAATTGTCACAGACTCACATATGTAAAGAATGTTGAGATGGCAAAAATTATCTATGTATGTATTTATGTATATACACATGTATTTATATACACATAGTATATATAATATATATAATAATTTTTTAAAAAAAG